TGGGGAAGAACCTGTTCACAGAAGCATGCTGTAAAGACCTGGCCTCTGCTCTCAAGGAGAACTTGACCCTCTTCAGTCTTGATCTGACCAAAAACAAAGTGCGGAACGCTGGCCTTTCTGCCCTGCTAGAGGCACTTGAGGCCCCACAATGCAAGATTCAGAAATTAGTGTAAGTATCTACCTGACGGTGACACTTCTGCCTTATGGCATGAATGTCTTCTAGAACATCAGCTTTTTGGGCAAAATATTTTGTGCCCCTCCTGCAGTGTTCCCTGTAAACTGTTCCATCCATGTGTGCATTTTTTCCAGCCGTGTGTGCATTTTTTCCCATGCATGTGCAGAATCAAATTTTATGTGCACTTAGATACACATATTCAAATTTGCACCACCAGTAGAAACAAAATGTAAATTAAAATAAAACATTATTTATTTTTATTTTTATTTCTATTATTTTTATTTATACTATTATTAATTATTATTTTATTGTTATTATTTATTTTATGTATTTTATTAATCTTATTTATCATGTTTATTTTATTATTATTATTATTATTATTAATTAATTAAAATAAAATGTTATGTGGACTCAGGTGCACATATGTGAATGTGTGAATGTGCACCACCAGTAGAAACAAAACCTACCTGTGTGTGCTCTGCTAATTACCTAGGTGGCATTTGAATCTCTCCTGAGTGGCTGCACAAGTGCACAGCTTACAGGGAACACTGCCCCTCCCCCAAAATAAATTCTGTGGAAAGCATATGCTTTTCTGTGAAATGTTTTCATATTTTAACAAAAACCTGAATTTCTCCTGAAAAACAGTTTTGATAGTGAGCAGCCCTGGCTATACTCTGAGCACAATGAATCCCTGATTGGCGTTCCTAGATGCTATCATAATACGAATAAATAATAATAGCAATATAGGGAAGATGGTGGGAGAGGCTCAAACGGGCAGGGGGGTAGATAGGCCCTGTCACTGCAACCAGAGGCTTTTGTCTAATGGATGTGTCCAATGCTCTGACCCAGCCTCCAGGAAAATGGCTTATCAGATGAATCCTGCGAGAGACTGTGCTCTGCTCTCTCCCATAACTCCACCCTCCAGCATCTGAACCTGAGTGCCAATGTTTTCACCGATCAGTGCGCTGAGTACATGCATCTCCTCATCCTGACCAGCCCCTGCCTCACCGACATCAGGTAAAACAGCCCCTTCCAACTCCTCCCACTGTTCAGACTCACAGCGGCTTTTGCACTTTTTTTTCTAATGTCTCCCACGTATTTACACATCTGTGGATTAAGTTACCGGGTTGTGCATCAGGAGATGGCTCAGAAGAAGCCTGTCCCCTCTTGATCCCAGGCTGGTGAGTGACCTGGGTGAGATGAACTGGCAGGCTTGAGCCAATACTCAGACTGGTGTCAGTTCGTCCCCTTCACTGGTAAACTCAGCAGAAAAACTAATGACTGAAGGGGCCATAGACCTGGGTCTTCCCACTTAGTGCTGGAGGTGGGGGAGATCCCTGCAGGCCAGGGACAGGGCATGCGAAGTAGGGGAGGTCTCCCTGTGGTGTGTCTGCTCTGGGATTAATCCAAGGATTCAGTCTTCAGCACCATCAATCCAGAACCTGCCACTGTCATAATTCCTGTTCCCTCCACACCCCTCCCCAGTATATTTATGGAAAAAGAGTAACGAGTATCAGTTGAATTCTTTTTGGCTCAGAGAGAAGGCGATAGTCAGGATTGACTCAACCCATCTGACTCGCTGTTGGATTCCTGTGTCCACACTCATTGGTATAGGGGAGACATGAGCTTTGTTAATAGGGGTCTGGTGATTTAGAGAGTTTTTAGGCTCCCTTGGGGTGTGTCTACATCGAACATTTAGCTTGAAATGAGCTATGCAATTTGAGCTACGCAAATGGCGTTCCTTTATTTGAGCCAATTTCAAAATAGCTTATTTTGTCATTTGGCGCTGTCTCCACAACGCCAAATTTCAAAATAAACCACTATCCCAAAATGTCTTTAATTCTCGTGGAATGAGGTTTACAGGGATGTCGGAATAGCAAGCCTGTTATATATAGAAATAACAAGTGTGCGGTTAAGACGCGGAAAATGCTATTTCGGGATACCAAAAGCAGTGCTTTTTTTGTAAAAGGTCTGGAGGTCGGGGCCAAAATGCGGTCACGGCCCCTTTAATTGCCGCATGTCCCGAGCAGGCTTCCTTCTGGCACGGCACAACGGCTCCCAGAGCTGGCTGGGGGCTTTGCCGGAGAAAAGCGAGTGCTCCCAAAAGAAGGTGTGTCCCGGCACAAAAAAAACACTGACCAGAAGTATTCTGAAATAGAACTACAATGTAGACGTGTCCTTGGTGGCTCAGTGCAGGAGACCTCTGGCTTCATCACAGCCAAACATAGTGGGCAGTTTGGCTTGGAGATGGACTATGTAATAGGGCCACATGGGCATCACATTGAAGGGACCTTTTCTGCATGCACAAAGACTGACCACAGGAACAAGAGCTGACTACCTGATTACTCTTCCTTTCAGGGCTCCTTCCCCTCCCACCCTATCACATGTATCTAGACTTTAAACTATGCCCATTGGTGTGAGGGTTTTAGCATTTTCCCCATCTTGCTTTCCTCCAATCTAGTCCACAATGCAGCAGCCAAAATCACCTCCCACTCATGTATTCAGATCTGTCCGCTGAGTCTTCTGACTTGCTCTTTCAAATCACGTTCAGGTATCGAAAAGAGTGTCACAAGGTGGAGGGAGAAAAATTGTTCTCCTTGGCCTCTGAGGATAGGACAAGAAGCAACAGGCTTAAACTGCAGCAAGGGAGGATTAGGTTGGACATTTGGAAAAACTTCCTAACTGTCAGGGTGGTTAAACACTAGAATAAATTGTCTAAGGAGGTTGTGGAATCTCCATCACTGGAGAAATTTAAGAGCAGGTTGGATAGACATCTATTAGGAATGGTCCGACGGTACTGGGTCCAGCTGTGAGGGCAGGGGACTGGACTTGATGACCTCTCGACGTCCCTTCCAGTGCTAGTATTCTATGATTCTGTGATTCAAGGCTATAGCTGGCCTACCTCCCCAATCTTGTAGCATATCAGATCCCACCCTCCTCCCTTTCACGTCCCCAGAAGTTGTAGCCCCACTGTCCTTTGATGGCTTTCTGCCTCCTTCAATGCCATCTGCTCTGATGTCTCAGGTGGGCCAGACTCCCATCTACTTTTCATTTTAATTCCACTGCTTCTACAAAGTCTACTGACGTACGTTCACCTCAGTATTCAGCCAGCGCTATTTCCTTCTGCCACAAATATTAGAAGTTCAACATGTCTGTTTGCTGGCTTATTTTTAAATTGCAAATGTCACTAGAAATAGGGACTTAGTCTTTTAAATCTCTTGTACAGCTCCAAGCACACTGTCAGGGCTTAAAAAAAGATAATAATGAATGACTCACGTAATAAAACACCAGTGTCTGTCATGGGGTTGTTTTTCCAGAACGACTGTCATAGAAATTAACTGTGACCTCTCCAAAAGATAGAGATCATAGTCATGTAAACAGACAGACCCTGGAAGACAGATATTGCACTGATATGTCCTGTTCCTATGAGAACACAACAGGACTACTGGCCAAGGTTTGCTTTGTAACAATACTGGAGTTTTGCGCGTTTGGGCTATGACTTCCCAAACAGTAACCCTGGGTGTTTTCTGCTCTTCTCCTAGACTGAGTTTGAATGACTTCTCTCCAAAGGTGGAAGGGCAGCTGAGAAAGCTGCAAAGTGAAAATCTGAAGATTCATATTTAAATAACTCTTTAACTGGATGCACTGCGGTGCACTCCCAGCTTGTGAAAACAGACCTTGAATCTGGGAACTGCAGCTGTCTGAATACACTGCCTAGTTTAACATCCACTGAGATGATACATTGTGGGAGTAATAAAATCAGGACTCAGCTGCACTCATGAAATGCATGGAAATAACTTCCCGGAAACCCTGCCAAGCTTCGTCCCCAGCAGTGGTACAATGGCTGCTCCTTTCTAGCCTTTTAGTTACTTTATCTTTTTTTTCTCACAAACAAGATTACTCTGCAGTTTCCTACACAGTTCTACTTATGCTTATATATTATCAGAACAGACCCTTAACATTTACAGCAGGCTTCTCTAAATATGCCTGCATTCCCAACATAGTGTTTGCATCCATTCCAAAACACTGTCGTGACGGAAACTTCAGATTTGTACTGTTGTGTGATATGGAAAGTAGCGCAAAAAGAGTTGCCACAAATGGAGTGTGATGCTGTGTATAAAGCAAGGTGATCATTTATATCACTGATGTTATCACTGTTATACGGTTTCAGTAAATCTTTGACTAAGTATGTCATGTAAGGCATCGAATTTGAAGTTATGAATTGCTAAGTATGATTATCGAGATAGGCAATCTCCATTATTAAAAGAAAAAAATCCCTGCTTGGAGACCAGTGAAGTCCCAAGGGTGCTGTAGGGAATAATTCTGGACACTCTGGATGCAAGTGAAAACAAGCTGAGGATTTATTGTACACCAGCGCTGGTAGAGTACCAACCAGGGGTTAATCTGGAGAGCACTAGTTAATCAAAACATTACAGTGAATTATATAGGCAGCTGGTGGGTGGAGTGGAAGCAATTTCATAGGTCCTGGTGGCAAGACGTAATGAGCACATAAGCCAATAAACTACAAAGGTTACACAGTATCTCCGCCCATCACCAGTTAAACATCTTATCAATGATACTGGTAGTTATCCCTAACAAGCTAACTAAGCCAACGTAAACAAAAGACATGTTGATGGCAACTTTGTTTGCTGAAATTATGATACGTCTACTGTAGGATGATTACTGCCTTGTGTTGGCGTGGTCCTTGGGATCCAGGTTTATTATCTAGAATTAAGGAGACAGTGTGAACGACTTCCGTGAAGTTTGTTTTGGTACCAGTCAGGGTCTTATCGGAGTGAGGCCCTCTTGGAATGTGGTTGCCAGAGTGACCAGGGTCATGTTAACTGCTTGTTCTGTGTGTTCCCAGGCCTTGCCTCAAATTTAGGATTTGAAAGAGAGTTCTTAGTAGAATACCATGGACTGCCTCAGTTTACCCTTACACCTGGTCCATGTAGTTTGGGCTGGCTGGGGCTGGGGGAGGATGGAGCATCTTGAGCAGACTTCAAAATGGCCGTCTTAGAAGGGCAATGCCTGTTCTTCTCTTAAAAGAGCAACCCCCCCATTTTTTTTTTTTGCTCAACAAGTTTTGTGGCAATTTTTTTGGTGTGCATGTGAGGGTTTCTCAAAAATCAAAAAGGGGGTATGATGCCAAAAAGTTAGGGAACCACTGATTTCTTGTTTATAGGCATGTATCATCTTTGGGTCTGAAGTTATGAATATTGGCTAGGTACTTGTTTCTTAAATATGTGTTGTACTCTTGGGTGACACCACCATATAGATTTACATCAGGGCTAGACAGGCCACAGAAGAAATTCATTCCACCCAGAAGGCTTTTCCAGTGGATGCTTCAGACAGTAAGGAGCCAATCACCATCCTTTATGATTCCAGCATATGATATGCTCATGTGACCCATGACTTCATCTTGGACCAGTAATACAGAGGCTATAGCTCTGTTTGGGACAGTAACTTTCCATGCACACAGCAAAGGATATAAAAGGCAACTGCGACATCTCCATTTTGCCTCTTTCCTGCTCCAATTTTCTGGACTGTGCATTTACAACCAAAAAGAGTATGTACACCTGTGGACTGAGGTATTCAATTCTTCTGGAAGTTACCAGAGAGACCTTTGCAAGTCAGTAGTGTGTTCTGTCACTGCTATATACCTGATATAAGGATCTGTAAAATAACCATTTTAACTCTTGTTTTCTTTTCTTAATACATCTTCAGTTAGTTGACTAAGGATTGCCAGGTAGTGTGATATTTGGATAAGATCTGAGATACCCCATGCCCAGGTCAATGTATAAGTGTGATCCTTTAGGACTAGTAAGACCCTTACATTTGGCAAATGAGGTTTTCAAAAACTCCTCACTATATGAGACCATTTTATCTAGATGGGAGTCAAAGGGGAATGACTAAATGGGGCTATGTCTTAGTTTATTGGGAGACCTGCAGTTTGCACGTGTTTCTGCCACTCTTTCTATATAGAAGGATATTAGGGAAGTTGTGTAGGAAGTTGTATTTGGGAGTCTGTACAGATGTGTGGCGGGTGAGTTTGGGGGTTGATCTCAGCCAGTAGAATTGGCAAGGGCAGCACAAATCATTAAAGAAGCAACATTTGCCAACAGTTGTCATACGAGGGTTTCTGAGACATGACGTACCTATTTCCTGTTCTGTTTCTACAAGTGTCTAATTCAGATATGAAATGGTTCATATGCCATTCCTGGTCTGTGTTTGTATCATTTAGATTATCATTGGTGGCTTATAACGCTTTATTGATAATGTGGCAAGGTCCTAGCTCAGGCCCCTCACCCTGGGACACTTTCTTTATCCACAAATCAGCTGGAGACCCTTTCTGGTGCAGACACCCATGCCTTTTATTGTCAGCGTCCCACCATCTTCTATTTACAGAGCTTTCATTTTCCCTCAGGTAACTCAGCCAGCCTCTCCTTCTGGCTAGAGAGCACCCTCAGCCCACCCTGGCTCCTGGCTTCTCCCTTTCACTTCCCCCCTGGCTGATTTATCCAGCCCTCTGGCTAATGAGGCCCACATCTGCTACCATTACCCCTTCAGGCCTGGGCTTGCTCAGGCTGAGATTGGCCTTCTCAACCAGGCTGTAGTGGCAGAGCTCTGGCTTAGCCACCAGTCTGTCACAATAATGACAAAAATAACTGTGAATAGCTTTGCAGACCCAAACCCCAGTGCTCATGGACTCCCCTGCTCCAGCCCCAACTACTTGGATTGTTGCAGGAGGGATTTGGGCTCCCTGCTATCTGGTATCACATTCCTCTCTGTCTTTGTTATTGCTCAGTGTCCTATATCTAATGTGGTTTTCAAACATTTTGTACTGGGGACTCCTTTCACACAGCGAGCCCCTGAGTGTGAAGCCTCTTATAAATTAAAAGTGTGTGTGCGGGAAGCAATGTCATTTGTGTGTGTGTGTGTGTGCAGGAGGTAATGGAAGCTGAGGGCCCCATGGAGCTGAGGGTATGTCTACACTACAGCACTAATTCGAACTAACAATTCAAATTAGTTAATTTGAACTAAGCTAATTCGAACTAGTGCATCTAGACCTAAAAACTAATTCGAATTAGCGTTTTGCTAATTTGAACTAGCATGTCCACATTGAGTGGACCCTGAACCAAGGTTAAGGCTGGCCGGAACAGGTGTCGGCAGGGCATCAGGTTAGGACTTAGAGCGTGGAGCTGCTGTCTCAGGCTAGCCGAGGGCTATGCTTAAAGGGACCCGACCCCCACCCTGGACAGACAGTTCTCAGGGTTCCCCGCTTGCTTGTCTACCTCGATGAGGGACAGCAAAGCAGTCTTGTCTTGGAGTGCCCTGAGTGCCCACACTCGGCACATCACAGCACTCAGCCATCAGCCCAGCTGCACTTGCTGGAGGCTGCCACCTGGGGGGGGGGGGCAATTGGGGGGGTATCAGGGACCACGGAGCCCCGCCGGGGGGGTCT